ACACACACACACACATTTATATACTTTTAATTAGACTTCTGTCATCATCTACATGGAAAAACAAGCAGGTGGAAACGAGAATGTAAGTCGTTGAGCAGATAATTAAAAAAATGACTGCCAAATGATTTAGCCTCACATACAGTCACAAAGAGAATCTGCATGGGTAAATATGTTAATCCCCGTCCCATTCTTAGTCAACTTCAAAGACCGAGCCGTGAAAGAAACGAGACATCGCTGCATCAGGGGAAGACTGGGGACTGTAAAGTCCTCAGAGCTTTAGAGCTGTTAATTTCCATCTGAAGCTTGCTGGCTCTATAGCAGTGCTTGTGAGAAAAGTGGTGGAAATGTCTCTTTAAAGTTTTTTTTCCAGTCTAAGTTGCTTCCTCCTCCTATTTGCATAGCCAATAGCTCCTCAGCCCTCGAATGAGGCTGTACGATTGTTACTGGGCAGATTTCATTGGCGTCTGCAGTGAAATGTGTTTAGTGCCCCCTAAAAACTGTCACGTTTTTTTAAACAACTGCCTGAAATGAAAGAAGTCAGCGCACAGGGACATCACCACAAATCATTCTCACTTGAGAAAAAAAATCATAAACGCCAAATTTAAAGGCGTTTGATCCTGACTGATAGATATTCTCAATTGAAATCTGCACTTTATGATGGGTCATACTTAAAATGGACAGTTTTAAGTTACATCAAGGCAGAAAAACCTTCACAAATATGTTCTTGACTTGATCAAAAAGGATCCTTGTCACAGGATAAGAAGAGACAAAGTTGCATTATTTCTCATCAAACACGCCAGTTTTAAATAAGAACGAGCAACAAGAATATGGCCAAACAGGTACTCCAGTCCTATCAGCTGCGCTCAGCACACCACGCGCAATTACGCAGTCTGATTGTTCTTTGTTACAGGTGAGGCATTAATTCAAACCAGCGGTTAGATCTGTTGAATATCACACACCCACACAGACATTCTTCAATCCCTAAAAAAATCACTCTCTGAAAAAAGTGGGGGAAAAATCCCACCCACACACGAAGGCTGAAAAGAAGTCGATTCAATCGTGTTAAAGTGTTTTCAGATCACACAATAACCAAAAAAAGACTCATAATGACTCAAACATGTATCTACTTCAGTGGAAAAGCATTTCACACCCTTCACTCCATCATTTACGCGGTTGAAGTACCAACATATTACTCTGTTAACACAACAGATGAGTTTCTATTTTTTTCTATTGCCGAAAAGTGACACCAACTGCTCCTCTGAGTGAGTTCAGAAGAAGCAGCAAAAGCAGGAGCGTGTTTTTTCTCTCTCCCCGGAAGCATTCAATTATCACACCAGAATAAAACGGGAACCCGCCCTGCAACTTCGAAACGTTAAGGAGTGGCGACAGTAGGCAGGCAAAAGCACCCCGGGAGGGGGGCGATCAATAAGTAGCGATGTTTTAAAAGTTTGTTGAAAATTACGCGATGCACACTGCAGGAAATATCTGTCGGAGCAAAAATCTTTTGTGCTGCCTCAAACTTTGAAATGTCATGTTTGGCTCAGTTAAGTTAAATAAAACACCCCGAGGATACGGGACAAGTCCGGTGGTTTGCGTTTTATCAACATTATTATTTTCGCGAAGCGAGCGGCGGGGAACTACCCATTTATCTTGTCTATGAAATTTACCGAAATAAAATAACAGAAAACACCAAATTTCCAGGACTCACCGGGTCATTTATCCTTTGTTTTCATAAAATAAATAAATAAATAAATAAAAATCCCCATTTAATTCATCACTAAAAGAAACGTGGTCACTCTTTGTAACGAGGATCGGCCAGTGAGTCATCACCGCACATTTCACACTTTAAATCACCATCACAACAAGCAGAGAAGAGCAGCCAACAACCGATAATGACAGCGCCCCGAAGTTCCTTTTATCTGCTTCTTTTACCGACATCAAGATGGGAATCTGATGCTCAGAAAAATGTCCCACAAGACAAGAAAAGTGTCGGAGGGGAATTTGACAAGTTCCTACTGAGTTATGAAATGACAGCAGCTGAGATCTGACAGTTTGGGAGTAAAACACAACGAGTGAGAAATTAAACAGCTCTCCCTTTGAGATGAGGCACACTGTGCTTTCTACTAACCTGCCAGTCATCGCAGGTGTTATATTGTGTAAACAGTCTAAAGCAGATATAACAAAATTTGGTATATTTTATTACCAATATTTATTTAGAAATAACAGATATTTATAGGCAGCTTTTATTCAAAGAAATGCTAATATATATGGTTTAAAACAACAGAAAATACCTTAAACAGCTGTTTTTAAAAAAAAAATAATTTATTTGTCCAATTAGACTACATCCCCATGAACCCCAAACTAAAATCACCAAGAAAAAAACAACCTGTGAATCTTTTGCCCAGACAAATGAGCTCTCTGGAGGTGTGTGAGAAGACAAAATAAAATAAAACACCCCAAACACACATGTACATCAACAGGTCAGTAATGGCTACACAGGAGACCTTCTGTAAAAGTCAAATGAAATAACATTTAAAAATGACTAGAATGAGACAATAATCGGATATGATGTAACTCTAAATCATCATGTTTGTGTAAAAACTTTAAAGAAACAGGAATCCTGCATATGTGATGGAACAAAGACATTTTGTTAAATTCCATCTTCGTCTATTTAGTTTGACATGTATTAATTAGCTGTATACCTGTATTTAAACTGTTAATATATAGATTATATATATTTCTTTTTTTTACAAACATAATTGATCCAGAAAACGTTTATTAGTCTATTTTTTAAATAATGTATTAACACTCTTAATATATTAGATTATTTTTTGATTGCTTAAAATCTGGTAGCTTTTCTAAAATTAGATGACAGATTTAATTATTTGAAAGACAACAACACAAATAAAATGAAACATTTCATTATTATAATTTTCAAATGCTAATTTTGGAATTTTCTGGATATCAAATCAGTTTGGTTTCCTTTTTATTTAAAAGTTATGAAGTGATAGGATACATTTCCACTGAAATAAAAAAGAAAAAGAGACAGAGGGATGTTTAGAAAGATGGAAGTCAGGAAAAGAGAAACTAATTTGGCATAACAAATTGATTAGATTTTTATTATAAAATTTATTATCTTACACAAAGACATAACAAATGTGTTCAATCTGTAAGAATAAAAGAAACAGTCAGTAGGTGAAATGGCAGCATTAGTCCTGACTTGAGTATTCAGCATCCTTATCTCTCTCTGCTTGAGACAAAACCTTTTGGATTTATCGTTAATTACAAATAAATACGTTGAATTGAATTGACAGAGGATGCAAAGAACCAAGGAGTCATCTCTGACAGCAGCATCACCAGCCAATCACAGCCAAGCACATGAGTTACGTAACAATAATCTTGACTCAAAAACATGCATGAAAAGGGTTTTTCTTACATGCTTTCAGTTTGAAACTTGACAACCACTGTGTCACAGCAACGAATCACATTTGAATTCTGATGAAAACATCACTCATACATCACTTCATGTCATTTGTTTATCGCACCCATATTTCCCCATTTTGGCAGTATTTTTTTGTGGTTGAATAACTGCAGATGTGTGAGCCAGAACAACAATACGGACAGAAGCTGCTCATCCATGATAAAAAAGCACCACGTTGCATGCAAAGCTTTGTGGAAAACTATCATCCAACCGACTAGTCGCAAAGATCACAAACTGTTTATTGGTTGAAATGAAACATGCTGATACAATATCAAAAAATGCCAGCTTTCTGCTAAATCTCGCTGACCCATCAGGTCATTAAAAAACACAACAAAGCACAAACATCAGTTACTGCTACCAGCTTCAGATTAAAATGTCAGAAACTAATATAAACCTAAATGATTTTGCATTCATGAAAAATGCCTAAAAAGGTTGTTTAGAAGCGCACAAATGTCATAGAACGTCTGAAAAAATCGACTTGTATACACAAAGCTTTAAATTTCAGCAGATCCTGAATCAGATGATCAGAAATCGGAGGTGAAGATCTGCTCAGCCTCCATCAGTCAGGATGAGCAGCATCAGCATCACGAAGGAAAACTTTTTTTTTTAATCTGCTGGGGGCATTTCCCCCCATTTAGAAACAATATAAGATGCATTTCCAGCAGCTGTCACTGTTGAAGTTTGTCCACAACATCTCCTCTGACCACCTGTGGGATTTTATTACTCCACAATG